GGGTGGCACAGGGGTGGGTGGCACGGGGAGTGGGTGGCACCCAGGGGGTGGGTCAGCACGGGGTGGAGTCAGCACAGGGGTGGGTGGCACGGTGGAGTGTGCACGGAGTGGGTGGCACAGGGTGGGTGGCACAGGGGTGGGTGGCACAGGTGGGTGGCACAGGGGTGGGTGGCACAGGTGGGTGTGGCACGGGGTGGGTGGCAGGTGGGTGTGCACGGGGGTGGGTGCAGGGGGTGGGTGTGGCACGGAGGTGGGTGTGGCACAGGGTGGGTGGCACAGGGGGTGGAGTGGCACGGGGGGTAGGTGGCACGGAGGTGGGTGGCACGAGGTGGGTGCACAGGGGGAGCGGAGGTGGGTGGCACAGGGGTGGGTGGCACAGGGGTGGGTGGCACAGGGGTAGGTGGCACAGGGAGGTGCGGGGGTGGATGGCACAGGGTGCATGGCATGGGCAGGTCCTGGCAGGTGTGGGGAGTGGTGGCAGGGGGTGGGTGGCACAGGGGGGTGGGTGGCACAGGGTGCCAGGTGGCACGGGGGGGAGCAGGTGATCAGGGCAGGTGATGCAGGGGCAGGGAGGGGGTGGTGGTGGTGAGGTGAGAGTGTGGGTGGTGGTGATGATGGTGAGGGTGGCAGCTAGAACAAGACACGATGATGAATGTACAGAGTCCTATCACCATCACAACACACACACACACCCACCACCCACACCACACACACACACACACACCCTACCATCTGAAAGGAAAATCCACTCGCCCTATCAGTCACAGATCACTAAACACAAATTATCACTGAATAAAAACAACTGAAACATCTTGACAGGCAGAACACTATCGATTCAACGCGACATTCCTAAGCCATTCTACCACCTGTAAACTCAAGCCACTGAAATATTAAACGACTTACGCCATTACTTTCCAGTCGACATGACCGTGCGAGCACCAACACTGGATCTGGTCTGGTTGTAATCTATAGGGCGTCATCACACCAGCCAGCCTCTCACCTCCATCCACCACCCAGCCTGACACCATCCATCACCCAGCACAAACCCTCTCATCCTACCCACCGGCTCTCACCTCCATCCACCACCCAGCCTGGCTCTCACCTCCATCCACCACCCAGCCTGGCTCTCACTTCCATCCACACTGGCTCTCACCTCCATCACGAGGGCCAAGATAACATTGTCTATATGACCACCTCTTGAATATGACGGCCAAATGGATGGATCACTCTTAATACTATCACCCCTCACCAGCACGGCACCTTAGTGGTTGAATGAGCCCCTAGTCCTATCATACATCAGTCCTATTGGGCCCCAGTACTAACAGACCCCAATCCTTAGTCTCACCATTATGATAAAGGTTTTAATTGTAATGGGACTTATTGCTGATGGTTAGGTTAGATGTTCTGGGTATAATGCTGCGCCCTGGGTATGATGACGTGCCCTAGGTGGCAGTAGAACAGGTGGCACTAGGTGGAGTGTCGCGAGAGAGGCAGGCAGGATCGATCAGTTCCACCCACCCCACCCACCCACCCACCCCACCCACACACACACACCTCCCACCGCCCCCTGCTGTTGCTCTGGCTGCTGTTTCTAATGCTGTTGTTGCTGCACTTATTGACCTTACTGCAGTTGCTGTTTCCTTCTGTTCCTGCAATTACCTCCACTTCAAGTCCCCCTCAGACCCTCTTCAACCACAACACTAATCACGTCCCACAAGAAGGTATTCAACCACGTAAATAAACACAACCACACTGACAGTCAACCACGCTTTCAACTAGATTATCAAAGTACACAACCATGTCCTACCACGTGTCCCTTACCGTATATTATCACCCATGTCCCAGCACGTGTCCTCTCCTGTACCCTCACATTGCCTCATACTAAACCATATCCTAATGTGGAGTAAAGAAGACACGTACTCAATAGTCTTGTTTATAAGGCCGTGGTTCCACACTGACCTGGCCTAACGATCCTTTGTGTGTGTGTGTGTGTGTGTGTGTGTCCGGTAGCAACCAGTAACACCCAGGAACACCCAGTAACACCCAGTAACACCCAGGAATACCCAGTAACACCCAGTAACGTGGAAAGGGCACAGCTTGGATGAGACAGGCGCAGAGTGGCTCCACCTGACGTAGGAGCATAAAGATTTCAGAGGCGTTGGGAGAGAGGTGGAGAGAGTTGGAGGGAGAGGTGGAGAGAGTTGGAGGGAGAGGAGTGAGTTAGTGTGAAGGGAGAAAGGTGAGGGGAAAAAGAGATTGTGTGTGAGAGAAGATAAAGTGTGAGGGGAGAGAAGTGAGGGAAAGTAAAATTTGAGAGGAAAGAGAAGTGAGAGGAGATTGAGTGTGTGAGGGGAGATTGAGTGTGTGAGGGGAGATTGAGTGTGTGAGGGGAGGGAGATTGAGTGTGTGAGGGGAGATTGAGTGTGTGAGGGGAGTGAGAGTGTGGCGAGGAAAGGCAGACAGACAGCCAACCAGACACAGGAGAGGGAGGGAAGGAAGGAGGGAGGAAGGAGGGAGGAAGGAGGGGAGGAAGGGGGGAGGGGGGGGAAGGAGTGTCTAGGTCTGGCAGGATGATGGAGACTGCATGAAGTCGACAGTAATTACAGTCCCCGTGAAGGAAGGATGGAAGGAGGGAAGGAAGGAAGGAAGGAACTGTGATGGATGCACGAGGATGATATCGATGTCTTGGGTCGTGAATTAGTAATTGACTTACAGTTAATACACTCAAGACACACTCACCACACCCAACACCACCCAACACACTCCCACCAACACACTCACCACACCACTAACACACTCACCACACACAACACACTCACCACACTCAACATGGCGACACACTACGCCATATATTACTTATGACCACCAGCCCTGACCTTGGCCCGAGGTGCTTGAAGGTGAGGTTCTGTACACAGCTGCTGAGGAGACATAAACACAGCAGGTATAGTGTCAACAACGCAGGAAATACAGTGTACATAGAGTAGACAATGTACACAGTAGATGGAGTGTACACAGTAGATGGGGTGTACACAAGAGATGGGGTGTACACAAGAGATGGGGTGTACACAGTAGATGGGGTGTACACAGTAGATGGGGTGTACACAGTAGATGGGGTGTACACAGTAGATGGGGTGTACACAGTAGATGGGGTGTACACAGTAGATGGGGTGTACACAAGAGATGGGGTGTACACAGTAGATGGGGTGTACACAGCAGATGGGGTGTACATAGAGTAGATAATGGAGTGTACACAGAGTAGATGGAGTGTACATAGAGTAGACAATACAGTGTATACAAAAGACAACGCAGACAATGCAGTGTAAACAAAGCAGACAATGCAGTGTACACGAGGCCAGACACCATAGCAGCAGACAGGGCAGCAGACACTCAGGAAGCAGCGTCATGCACCCACAGAAGAGCAGCGATGCGCCACAAACACGCCCATGGCCAGGCACACTGCTCACGCTCCGCCCACACCCACCCAGGCCCCGCCCACTTACACCCAAGGACCGCCCACCAAGTTCATGGCCGCTCCAAGGTCTCTCGTTCACGTCCCCCTTCCCTCCCCTCCCTTGTCTCTCACTCCCCTCACCTACCAACCCCCCCTCACCTACAACCCCCTCACCTACCCCTACCTACCAACCCCCCTCACCTACCACCCCCTCACCTACCACCCCCATCACCTGCCCCCATCACCTACCAACCCCCTCACCTACACCCAACCCCTCACCTACCACCCCCTCACCTACAACACCCCCTCACCCCTACAGCCCCCACCCCCAGAATGTACAGTAAGCAGACTATGGTTGTATTTAACTATGTGTGAACTTTCAACACATGCCCTAACCAAACCAAACCTAACCTAACCTAACCTAACCTAACCTAACCTAACCTAACCTAACCTAACCTAACCACATACTTATATATCAGTACGTTGAATATTACTGTATATCAACTCTACTGTAAAAATGTGTAAATACTGATAAAAATATGTAAAAAAAATATATAATCGTGGTTACATTCTCATGTGTATTTACTAACACCATGTTATATGTACTACTCTAAATGATATTACATGTTATTTAATAATTCCTTGAGATAAATGTACAGCAACTAAGAGCTCAGGCTGGCATTATAACGCACTTTAAAAGGTTATATTTAAGTATGCTGGGGTTGTAACACACTTTGAAAGGTTATATTAGGTTATATTTAAGTATGGTGGGGTTATAACACACTAAAGAGGTTATAGGTGGCCATGCAGGGCCACACCGCCGAGGTTACATATTAAAGGGAGGTTGTCGAGAGAACCTGTGGGAGAGAGTCCAGCCTGGCCGTACAGACGAGTGTGTTAGGAAGGTCAGGGAGGGACATTCCAGCAGAGTGTGTGTGTGTGTGTGTGTGTGTGTGTGGTCCCTAGAGTTTATGGGCCCCTGTGACTATTATCCTTCATCTGATCTATTAACATTAGGGACCCAAATCAAATGGTTGGGGCAGATCGTATGGGGCCCCAGTCCACTATTACTATTATTACTACTACCAACAATCCTAGTAAGTACTGTCTTAGTACTATTACCATAATCATCATCAACACTGCACTCATCATCACCATCATCATCATCACGTAACGAGCAGTTAAGTTCAGATGAGTCCCGCATTATGACAGGTACTTGGCCACGCAGTTGTCACGTGATTGCTTCCTGCTGGAGGTGGTGGAACTGTCTCCTCTGTACTGACGACCTCCCTCTCCTTGCCTCTCTCTCTCTCTCCATTTGTCTATCCCCCCTTCTTTATTATTTTACTCTACGTCCCTCCTTCTCTACCTTCCCTCCTCCCTGCTCCCACCTTCACACATCACGACCCACTTAACGAGACGATAAAGGAGTCGCCGACGAGTATTTCACAACAATCTTATCATCAAGTTTTGTGTCATTGCCATGGTAACATCACCAATGTAAACAAAGTTCACCACCAGCGTAAAACAAAACAAACTGGAGCCTCACTGTTCACAATCACCAGGTAGTTCCCGCACTGTACAACTTGTAACTTTCTACATATTCACCACCTCTGGCCCGGGTGTGCACTTAACACTTGTTCTGATAATATACTCGAGGTGGGGTGGTGGCCGAGTGTGAGCCTGGGCCGCGGGTGGTAAAACTGGCTGCCTCCCCTGGCCTGACCACCGCCAACAACACCAACACCACCAGCAGCCTCGCCTGCAGGGTCGTGTGCCCCCCCCTCCCCCCCCGCCACCAGCACCTCCTCCTCTCCCTGGTCTCCGTCAGCCACTCCTTCCCCAGCTACCGTCGGCCACGCCTCCACACTCCTGTGTTCTCGGTAAACTCAGACCTGACCCGCCACCTTCCACCCCACCAGCGCCTCCCACCACCATTTCCTCCTCCTCCTGCACCTCCAGCAGCAGCACCACGACCCCGCTGCGTCAGGAGAATCGATGGCGACCACGGCTGCTTTTATACTCTGTCTGCATCCCCCGCCAGCCTCCAGCCCCTCGCCCTGCCTGTTGGCTCTCCAGTAAAGTGACTCTCGCTCCGCACCCAACTTGTCTCACCGTCAAATCTGAGTAAAAAACGACACAGATTTGTCTCAAAACCTATCCCATTGAACACACACACACACACACACACACACACACACACACACACACACACACACACACACACACACACACACACACACACACCAGCATATCTTTACCTGCCGAATTTAATCAAATCCCTTCGCACGCCTGTTCCATACTCACAACTTCACAATTTCTGTACAAATTTGTCCTCAGTATGACAGTGACAATCCTGGAGTAACATTCATTTTCCTAATATTTAAATCATTTCCAACGGGGTCACAAGGTCAGGCACACTACACTATTTCCCAACTTTTATGTACGAAATTCTCCAATGTTCAGAGAGTGTGAGTACCAGAGGTCTCTTTGGGTTGAGTACGGACAACAACAACACTAAGTTAGCCTGAGTACAAAGAAAGTCAATGAGGGCGGTACTGGGATCATCAAATCAAAACCTCTACTCGAGCCAACGAAAGTCAGGAACCCCTTCACAACTGGAACGACTGTGGGTGTCCCCGGCGTGAACCATTGATCCTTAGGACATGGACTGACTGCTGTATCCACCCAGCCACCGCCTCTCTCCTCCAAGCACAAGAAATACTCTGAATTAAGCTGTCGTAACCCAAAATAACTCATTATTTGGAGTGTTGGTTAGTGGTTAGGTTAGGTTATTTAATTATCAGGTTAAATAAGCTAGGGTGCCTAAACTTCAGGTGATCCTTATATTTATTTGCTAGTGACCAAGATACACACACAGGATACTGCAGGATACACACACAGGATACTGCAGGATACACACACAGGATACTGCAGGATACACACACAGGATACTGCAGGATACACACACAGGATACTTCAGGATACACACACAGGATACTGCAGGATACACACACAGGATACTGCAGGATACACACACAGGGTACTGCAGGATACACACTCACAGGATACTGCAGGATACACACACAGGATACTGCAGGATACACACACAGGATACTGCAGGATACACACACAGGATACTGCAGGATACACACACAGGATACTGCAGGAACTGTAGAGGTCATTGTTATGAGGCGTGGCTACTGACCTCCCGCCACCCACCGCCCACCTTTACTACCACACCTCATCTCCTTCAATCAAGTCCCCCCTCCCCTACCCACGTACCTCTCTTCCCCTTCCCCCCTAAAAAAACCTTACTCTTCCCTCCCCTCTCCTTACCTGACACACACACACCTCAGCCATTGTTTACTTTCCATTCATATGTTTGTGTAACCTTTAAGCCTCATAAACCCCCCCTCACCCCCCTCCTCCTGCCCCTCACCCCCCCCCCTCCTCCTGCCCCTCACCCCCCTCCTCCTGCCCCTCACCTCCTCCTCCTGCCCCTCCACCCCCTCCTCTGCCCCTCACCCACACCCCTTACTACCTCCTCTATGTGTGCGTGTGTACCTAGCAACACACACACACACACACATGAGAGAGAACTCTCTCACCTGCCGACGACCTAGCTGAAGGAGTGCCAGTACCTACACACACAACTTCGTCAAGAGTAGGTTGCTCCTCAAACTTTTAAACCATCATCTAACTTTTCCAAGTCCTCTATATTCCTCCTCTTCCTTCCTCTTCCTTCCTCCTCCTCCTCCTCTTCCCCGACCTAAGCAATGATCAACACACACACACACACACACACACAGACACACACACACACACACACACACACACACACACACACACACACACACACACACACACACACACACACACACACACACACTAGTATTCCGACACCCTCATTATCTAATTTTTCTTACTCTCTCGTTTAATAAGGGCAGTAACTGAGCAGAATGAGATATGGTGTTATTATAAGGAATCATACCCCATCCCGTGTGTGTGTGTGTGTGTATATATATATATATCTACTAAGACCTATGAAAACTAACCAGAATTCTAGCAGTTCTCTCTCCTCTCTCATTCCCTCCCTCCTCCTCCTTCCCTCTCCCTTCTTCTTTCCCTTTTCCTCCCCGCTGAAATTGGTGAGGTGGTTAGTCACAATTACAGGAAAACCACAACACAGGAACCTCATAACCTAAATAAACAACAATAACACCAACAACAACAACAACAACACAACAACAACAACAACAATAATAATATAATTATATAAAATAAAAATACTACTACTACTACTACCACTACTACTACCCTCTAATGCAGCATTCAGTGACTACTACTACTATCACTCTTCATACCATCTCTAAGTACTCTGGCTGTTGTCCGTAAATATGTCAGAATGAACCAAAATATTTCTGTCTCTTAAACCGGTTTTGACCCTCAGCTGTTGTTAAGACCCGTCCACTACTGTCACCCTTTCCACCTCTACTCTCTCTCTCTCTCTCTCTCTCTCTCTCAGCCAGAAAGCCTCACTCAAACACCAGACAGTCTCCCAGGAACTGAGGCGATGACTCACTCCCTCATTCACCAGTCATACCACTCACTACCACACATTACTACTACTACTACTACTACTACATTTTCTACCCACGCAGATCAACCATTACTATCTATTACCAGTACAACCACAATCCACAACCAACCTACTACCATAAACACACACACACACACACACACACACACACACACACACACACACACACACATATATATATATCACCTACTACTCAAACAACCACAATCTATTACTTAACCACCCCCTACCACTATACCCTCACATACCACACCAACCACTACCAAAAACAACCACAATCTATTACTTAACCACCCCCTACCACTATACCCTCACATACCACACCAACCACTACCAAAAACAACCACAATCTAACCACAACCAATGACGTTAACCACAATCTATTATCCTCTATTCTTTTATAACGCCGTCCTGGAGAGAATAGGAAGAAGGGAAAGAACAAAGAATAGATAGAAGAGGGAGGCGATGAAAGAAGGAAGGGGGTGAAAGATGAGAGAACGAGATGGGAAGAGGGGGAGTAAGGAGGGAAGAACAAGAGGAACCAGGATAGGAAGGCAGGAAGACCGCCGGAAGAGGTAGAAGAGTGTAGACAGAAGGAGGACAAGGGGGAAGAGAGGAAGACCGCAGGAGGAAGGGTAATGAAGACAACAACAGGGGGAAGAGGAAGACAGGAAGAACAGGTGGGGAAGAAGGGGAGGATGAGGAAGGAGTGCGTAGGTAGGAAGATGAGGAGGAGGAGGAAGAAGAGGGGAGGAGGAAGAGGAGGAGGAAGAAGAGGAGGAGCAGGAGGCTGCATATAGAAGGAGAGTGTATAGGTAAGTGTGTGTGTGTGTGTGTGTGTGTGCGTGTCAGGTGATACACAGGTAACACAATACCCTCATTATCTTCACTTGACCACCTTGGCTTCCCCATACACCTGCCCTCACCTCCCACACACCTACCCCCTACCCATACACCTGGCCATCACAGGTACCCACCACAGTTACACAGGTTAACCACAACAAGGTACCAACACGACAAGTCACCAATCAACACCTGCCAACACACCGGGCACGACTCGACTCACCAATAGTAAACAAGATCACTAAAGTCAGGATAACCCGGAACATGGAGAGTGAAGACCAGTTATATTTGTCTACACCTCCGCCTTGACCTGATGTGACCTGAACTACCCAGACGATCGGTGTGGGTGGGTGGGTGGGTGGGTGGGTGGGTGTGGGTGGGTGGGTGTGTGTGTGGGTGGGTGGGTGTGTGGGTGTGTGTGTGGGTGTGGGTGTGTGTGTGTGCGTGTGTGTGTGTGTGGAGTATCGTTTCACCACACAACAGGTCATCACTCCAAGTGGCTCAACATCACACCCCGGAAATATCTCTCGAGTGATACACGTTTTTGTGACCATAAATAACACTTTCCTCATGTAATCACCAATAACATCTAGTTTAAATAACACACTAAGTCAATAAAATAACATTGTATTACTTGTTGTACTCGATCACAAAAAATATTTCCATAAAACCAATTTCCAGTCACAGTTAAATATCAAAATCACAATCACTTTCTCGAATCACGGACACAATATCACTTAGGTAGACGCGGCGTAGTGATCCAGGTATGGGCGTTGGTGATCCAGGTATGGGCGTGATGATGGTGAAGGCCCCTCAGGTCCATCACTAGTCACACGGGTAAAGAACACTGACTGAAATTAACCCCTTGGAGTGAAGCAGCGCGAGTCGGGGCGAGGTGGGTACTGTACTGGGGTGGTGATGCCCGAGCCGCGACGCCCTGCCGTGGTGCCCTGACCCTACCCTCCCCTCCTCCCCCCAACACTCCAAAATAACCTTTGATAGTTATTTGAACCTATAATATAAATACATTCCTTTCTGAGATACTTGAGATCACATTAAACTATAAAATGAGTCAGGGGATAAATCCAGGAAGTGATGATATATTCAGAGAGCAGCTACACGGAAAAATGTTGGGTTCAGTCACCAATTACCATAAACAATCACCATTAATATAACTCACCAGCATCAACCAATATAAACAATTCCAATTCAATCATTAGAGAAGTACAAAATAACATACAAATAAAATAAATAATTGAAACATAGCAACATTTACATAGAGAGAGGTTGGTAGTGTGTGGCAATTATCTCCAGATGCCCAGC